TTTTTTTTTTTTTTTTTTGAAGATAGTTAGAAATGATTTCATTGAAATTTTTCGATAAAAAAAAAAGCAAGTTATACGGCAACAAAAATTTATGATTAATTAGTATATTTGATCGGAAGTGTTGTACAGTTTTTACTTTTTTATTTTTCTTTATTTTTTTTGTATTTTTTTTATTTTTTTTTTTTTTGCAAAAAATTTTTGTAATTTGTAACTGTAAACAACAGTGTTTTTTTGATAAAACTAATTGATTCATAAATGAAAATATAGTATCAACATTTGTTACAGCTATAGAAAAACGATCATTACCAAAGCCAAAAAAAGATAGCTGCAATGATAAGGATCCAAACTGTATCGACTACGTATCACGAAATGCATCAATGTGCGATCGAGAGCCGTATATACGTGTTAACTGCAGATGGACATGTTTGATGTGTGGAAAACCAAATAAAAGTTTGTTATATTATTTTACATATTTTAAACTAAATTTGACACTTTTCTTTTTTTTTTTTTTTTTAGATTTTATTAAATATGTCAGATAAAACGTAAATTAAAAGCAAAAAACATTATTACAAAGAGATCAGCTATAATCATAGTTTTGTCTCTTTTGAATTTTATCACTTCAACAGTTTGCATTTAGTAGGCTGCTACAAATGTATACAGTTGGCAAATTTGTCACAGGTTTTTACACAGTATTGTTTTTTCAATTTTTTTAAGGTAACGAACACGTGCTCTCAAATGCTTTTCATTTGAATTAGTTCTAATGGTCGGCAAAAAACTGACTATTTTTTTCTTTTTTGCAACTTTTTTTCATATTCAGTTACTTTTTTTTCTGTTTTATCTCTATCTGCCCTCAGAAACAGTTCAAATTTAAGCTAGAAACAGAAAAGAATAATTGATAATGCAGTAAAAAATCATTGGAAAGTTACGGTTATAGGTGCTGGCCACAATATGTATTAAAAACATTCAGCTGTGATCAGCTGCAGCATTCCCTTCAGAAAAACATTATTTAATGAGAAATATCGTCTAAAATGGTTTGTAACTGGTACACTAAAACTCCTGTATTGAAAAAGTTGTTGTAATAGTTCTCTTAGCTGTTTTCTACAAAAATTTAAGTCATAAAGTAAGCTAAATTGACGGTTATTTTGTGTTGTTTATGAATTTGCTTAGGAGAAAAAAGAAACAGAATAATATTGGTAAATGCGTGGCAGATTAATAACACATTATTTTGTTGCGGTTTAGTCTTGAAATATTATGTTTGAGATGCTGCAAAATTTCGATTTATTCTAATAGAAGATAAAGAAGCGCAGAAAAGAGGTACTATCTGAGAGCAAGATGCTGTAAGCGGCTTCAGGTATACTGCTACACTAAATTTTTTTTTTGAGAATATAACGTAAAAGATATGCCGGATTTGCTACGTCCGCTGGGATTCTTATTGGGAGTGTGGAAAGCTGAAAGCGGAGGTAAAGCAGTTTTCCCAACAATGCCGACATTTACCTTTGGAGAGCGAATTGAGATATGTCTTTCTAGCGAAACCATGCATGGACTTCCTGCATTAAACTACACGTAAGCATTTTTTCTAACATTTTAGAATTTATTAAAGAGTACAACTAATGATAATAAAAGATATCTAATTTTAAGCTTTTTTAGTCTGCAGATCAGTTAAAGTAAAATGTTATTTTTGGTCAACAGTTTATAGCGCTAAAGTATTTGCTGTAGAATTCTAGTCACTGCCATTGTCACCTATCATTAAATATCAATTTTTCGTGGAAGTAACCTGCTAATTTTAACTGTTGTGGAAAAGAAAACTCAACTGGATTTTTGAAAATAAAGCATTTTATTTATTTATTTATTTTTTTGTTGATCTTCCACTGCGCTAAAATCAATAATAAAATTCAGAGCTGAAGCATGGGATATGAACAATCACGAACCTCTTCATAGTGAGTATGGATATATTACTATGAAACCGGGAACAAATACTGTCGTACTAACAACAGTTATGGATAATGGTGATTAATTTGATTTTTCCTCTACAAAGTAAACCAACATACTGAAAAGTTTCAATGTTTATAGTACACTCAAAAGCTTATAAATTTGCAGAAACAGGGGTTAATTTCAAATGTTTAGGTTTTGTTACAATCGAAGAGGGGCAGTTACGAGGTCGATCCATAGACTTCAAGTCCGTAGATATTGGACGAATCAGTTTCAGCAGAGATTTGTCAGTAGATGGGGTAATGCAAAAATTTTACTTCTTTATTACTCTCAAACTTCTAGACTTGTTAAGAATTAAAACTAATTACAGAATTGCACTCAACAACTTTTTTCTTGTATCAAAGTTGTATAACAAAAGTTCAAATACAATTCTGTTTTATTTTCTGTTCTTAATAGTGCCACTGTCACTGCTATCAAGACCTAATTGAAGTCGTACAGTTAATGACACTTTAAGGATATAAGTCGTTGATTATTTTTCTTTTGCAGACTGAACGTCAGTGGAGATTGCTAAGTACCACTATGTTTGAAAATCGCTTTTTCATGCAGACTTTGACTCATCGAATGCAATTACATACTTCAATCGTTTATAACAAAATCTATCCTGTATAAGATTTTAGATTAAATCCTAATGCTTTTTTTTTAAGATGCGCTTCTTCTTCCGCTTTCATAAATGATTTGAATTGTCGTTTGTTCATATCTTCAACCACTTAAAACAACTGTTTCATTGAAAAACTGCAAAATCTTCATTGATAAATAAGTTGCACGCATTATTGGTTATCGTAAAACTAATTCATCCATGTTTTTTTATTTTTATTAATATTCAAAAAAATTTTTGCTTTTTTAGAGTTTTTTATTCCACAAGTTCAATTTTACTCATGACACGCCAAAGTGTACACTGTATTATTAGAATGAAACTCATATTAGCACGGCTATTGCCAAGCAAAATCCTAATTAAACGAGTTTCTGCAAAAATAGAAATTTTAGTTATAATGTTTAGATGCATCTTGATGAGATGAATGCTTCTAATAAACAACAGAACTGTGGCTTTTTTTAAAAGCTGTTTTGACAAAATTAAAATTAAGGTGAATTTGCACAAAATTTGCTATCAAAAGGGGAAAGTATTAGAACTTTATTGATTTGGTTTTGTCACGTCCGATAGTTGTGTAATCTTAGCTAAGTGTGAACTTGTACAACTCCCTCGGCCGACGTTTCAGAAGTTCTTGCCAAAACTTTGCTAGTCAGTAGGCGAAAATTGCAGTGTCGTGGTAAGCAGGCAAATTCCCATTTTGAGGCACTACTACAGTAGTCTCCCGTACACTCCTACGTGATCCTTTTATTATAATACAATACTTAACTGTGGCCGTAATTACCCTTTAGGAGTCACAGCGCCAACCAATAAACTGTAACTTATACTACTTTGAGGCTCTCGACTTCTGTGCCTTAGAACTCCTCTACCTTAACGACCTAAATACTTCTAGGTAATAACTATTTAAGATGATGGAGCGCCTTACTAAATCAGCTTCTTTATCCTTGCTTAATCCTCTAATTTTACATTTAGCGATCCTCTAGAACACTTGTTATAACCAGCACTATATTTGACAGGAAGATAATAATGTAAATTACAAAGAAAACAACTTAAAGATTAATAAAATAGATTGAAAGCTGCAAACTGAGCATTTATCAACAGAAAAAAAGAATATCAACTTGGTGTGAAAATAAAAAAAACTGGTTTTTTCAATCCCGGCGGTTTAGTGGTTCTTGAAAATCTCAAACTTGGGTGATTAAACGTTTATTTTAAGAAACACGTCAGCCTGATCACATCGCCTCATCACCGCGTTCTTTGCCTGCGGCGACACTTAGTCAGTGAAAAAGAGAAATCGTTAAATTAACGAAAAGTCTAAAGACTTTGTAGATGATTGAACAAACGCAACTTGAGAATACTCAAGGACACAAAAACTTTGTCTAATCTTCATAACACTGCCTTTTTTATACCTGACTTCCCTCCGCGCAAATGGTCAGTCTGCGAGCCCTTCGGGAGCTTCCCCTCAGGAATCCACAATAACCTTCGTTCCATACATCCGACTGAACAAACAGTTCTCGGTCTCCGACAATTACCACTCCTTCTCTAGTTTGTGACAAAGCAACCGTCGTTCTAGGCGCATCTAAAATAAAATTAAAATTTTGGCGTTTTTTCTCCATCCTCATTCCCGTTGTGACTGTTATAGAAAAGTCACATTCTCTGCCCTGATACCGGTTTATACTATAGACCTGACATTCCAATTCCAGAGCCGCGATTCTTTTCACTGATGATGGACAACAGCATAAGATTGTAATACTGGCTTCCAGAAATCGTTCCAATATATACCATCTCATCTTCACTGCTACCTCATTATGCAAATCATTTGACCAACTCCTTTCTAACGTAAGATATTCACGTCTCGACGTATGTAACATTAATATTGGAATGTCAGCCACCTTTACTGAGAATCCTAAAGCCTCCACATCATCCTATCATCTCGTTCACTAAATGCTGGTACCAACCTATGATTGTAGGCTGCAATGGACAATGCTTTAACCAATATCGAGTGACTTCGGAAGTTACGCGTCAGGCAAGCCCGCTTGATGGTAGCATTTACCATCAAGTTTTGAATCGCTCCCTCATGTCCAGAACAAATTACGTTGTAAGTGCTCCTGTGTATGGTGGTGGCTGAAATTGATCGCCTGTGATTAATACCTGTTGAAGGTTCGGTAGGTTTGCTATCAACCTAAACAGGAACATTTCCGGTATTAAACCTCCTTCGTCAATCACCAAGTATTTCAATAGTTCCTCGTTAGAATACTGTTCCCATACTTGCAATAACATCCGAAACATGAGCACTGTGTCGCATATTAACTTCGTGCATCGTATCTCAATAACTGTCTTCAGTGCCTCCTCTTTTTTGTAAGCGTTACCGTCATGTACTATGCGCTTCGAAACGTACCTTGTCACAAATGCGGTTTTTGCTTCCTCAATGTCTGCCGATCTAAATGCCTGTAACACCTGCACTACTCTACACATTTCCCAACGACGTATCTCTGATGGGTGAGGTTCTAATTCATTTGTTATAGACTGTAAAAACAATACATCTCCTGCATTAGATTCAAACTCCTTTAGAACAATCTCTGTTGTCTCTTGCACCGCCAGGTTAGTGGAAGCTGTTATAATTATAATCCTTTAATTTTCCTACAAAAGCTTTAATACATAAAGCAAACTAATTTTCCTTTAATCGCATTGTTCTTTCCAGAATATCCATTCTACGCTTATGCTGGTGATCGGTTAAAGCTTTACTAAATTTCCTGCCTGAAAAATCTCTTACCACTGTTTCATAACCTATATTACTCATCCCTGGGTAAATTTCAATCCCTGTAGTGTCTTCATTCCCCATCAACCTTGACGCTTTCTCTCTTGCAACCCGTACTTGATCGTCGTCCATCCTGGTATACAACGTAATATTTCAAAATTCGTCTATCTTGATCTCAGACACTGTCATTTTTATACCGCTTCGGTACAACCGAGCACTAGACGACTGCGTTTCGATCCTCATTTCAACCTCAGGTTCCCAGAATCTTGCTTTAGCCGCGATTATTTGGTCTTCATATTGACTGCGTTCATCAAATGGTATAAAGAACTTGAGTTCTGCAGACGTCTGCGTCCCGGTACAAGTGATATCTATCTTCACCTTAGTGGAGTAAGCTCTATTTAACCAGAAATAAACTATTATCCTTTCCATGGCGTAAATAGCTGGTGTATCAAAGATTTCTTCATACTGATAAATTATTTCTACTCTCTCTACTCCCAATTCTTGCAGTCTGTTCGGAATGTTCCTTGCCTATAAGTATGACAAGAATCATACAGCCCTCAAATCCATACACGATGTATTCCCAATACATGTCCACCTACTCTTTTATTTTGAATTCCTTCCGGCAAATAATGAAACAACCTATTATTTTGATGTACTTTCTCAAACTCCAAACGCTCCGGTTCTTAATCTACCACTTCAGCTTCAATTATCGATCCTATCACTGAGTTTCTTACCATATGAATCCTATCTTCATGAACTCTTTCTTCTCCAATTATACCTTTCCCTGTTACCGTTGGGGTGTATGGTCTAATCTTAGAATATTGCACCATTGCTGGAATTTGATACGGCTCAACTCTGGTCAAGATGCTGTAGACATCTGCTTCAACTGACGATCTTAGTTTTCCTTGATGTAAAAAGGACTCAGTAGAGATATATAGGTACTGCCCTAGATCTACCGCTTATCTGACTTATGCGATATGACTTAACTTTTATCTTATCAAAATTAATATTTTTAGATCTTAAACTTGAATAATAACCGGCGCTATTTTCAATAACTGCTCATTCGCGTCATCATCGATATTGAGGGCCAATGATGTATACGTTTTTTTACTTGAGATACTATATAAATCGCTGCCTTTCCCATTACAATTTCTTTCGACCAAGAAAGTGGTCCAGATTTGCTCATATTTAGTTATATTACCCCGTTTGATACTAATTAGGTAACTTAAGAGGTAATATATAATGATTGAACGCGAAATGAAACAAAAGAAAGAAATAAATTAAAATTGAAATCAATGAAGAAAACGTAAAGTTCAAAAACAAAAAACTACGATAAAGAAGACGTAATAAGACAAAATGTAGAATGAATTGAAAAATAAGAATAGAATTTTAAGAAAAAAAACTTGAAGATTATGAAAAAAGAACGTAAAATGAACAAAAATTTTAAAAATTTAAAAAAAATTAAACACACCATCAAAATTATCAAATTACGAAGGAAAAGTATAAAAAACCAAAATACAAAACAAAACTTAAATTGAAAACTAAGAAATCTATGAAATTACAAAACTTTTAATGTAATTGAAGTTTAAACAATAAAAAATATTAAGCGCGTTGACTGCTAATTCAATAATACCAAAACGATAGACTATTTACATTTAAACCAAAGACTTAATACCCAATTACGAAACTTACGAAGAACTCAAAAACCGCACTCCAAAGAATACAACAAGCTGAGAGACCGTTCGATCCGTTTATGGTTTGGAAGAATGACAGTCACACTTCTTACATAGCCGTCGCAACGCTTGTTTACGGCTTCTACAGGCGCCATCTTCCACTCTCCCTGCCTGAGGTCAATTTCCTTTACAAAAGCTACATCACCCATTTTGGGTACTGTTTGTAGCCTTTGTTGATTCCCGTTGCGTAACATTGTCTGATACTCTCTTAAACTTAACAAAAATTCTTCTTTAAACACTTCCCAATAGGCATCTGTAAGTGGGAGATTTTTTTTGTACAACTTAATCAAGTCCTTCCTTTATTGAAGCGGGATGAAGTCGGAGTCATCAAAAGTTCCTACAGGGACTAACCCAGTGGGACTTTCGGTCTGCAAAAAGTCCATAGGTCCGATTGCTGATATTCCGGGTTCATCATAGATATATGTTCGGGGTTTTTTTCAAAGTCTTAATTTCAGAAATCTTAGGACATATACTACTACTCTTAATAACCTAACCTAACCAGAAAAGTTCTTTGATCTTATCCAAAGATCTTCTTCCTCTACGTTTAAGGCCTCTATAGGACATTCCAAATCTCCCATCTTGTCTTCTTCCATTTCTTCATATTTCATTTCCTTTGGCCATAAATTTTTATCTTCTTTCAACCAACTTGGTCCTTTTCACCAACTTTCGGTTCGTATCAATTCTCCTAGCGTACAACTTCCTGTGCCAGATCTGCAGCATTCTCGCCCGACGGTACGTAATGTATTCCGATTCCTTTGGCTCATTTTATTTCTTTTAATCGATTTATAACGAATACGGATGAAATCTTAGATGTTTTCAGTCAATATAATACACATTTAGAATTGCACCGGACAACACGTCGTATAATTGGTAGCTTTAATTCTCGTTCTACATACGAAATTGCGCGTACACAAATTAATAACGCTAACAATTCAAAACGTGAAATCGACATACCTTTCACTGGAGCCAAACGGTTTTTACTAAATATTAAATTTGTTTGATAGCCTTGTTGAGTTCTATTTCTTAAATATAATACCGTGGCATACGTATGCGAGGAGGCATCTACAAATGCATATAGCTCCCTTTCTGCAACTGTTCCATTCTCCATTAACTTTTGAGGTATACTTATCTCTCCCACTTTACTCCATAATCACTGTATTTCTTTCCAATCCGTCTGAATCTCATCCGTCAGAATCTCGTCTCCGGTGAAAGATTGTTTCTACAATTTCTGTACCAGCAACTTTGCCTTCAGATTAGCTGGCGCTGTCCAACCCGAGAGGGTCGTAATTTTGCGCGAGTCGAGATAAAATAGTTTGTTTTGTAGCTTTCTCATTATTCCTTGGATTCTTTATAAAGTATAATTGTAATTCGTCCTTATCCAGCTGCCAAGTTAATCCCAAAACCTTTTGTGTCCTGGCTTCGTTCAAATCATCTTTCGGAATCAAATCGCCAATTTGAGGAATGTTAGAAGCCCATGTTTGCATATTGAACGATGCTTTTTTAAATACTCGTTTTACTAATTCATGTAAATAACTAAATTTATCAGGAGTGTCACATCGTGTAATTAAGTTATCTACATAAACCTGGTTGTATAACTGTTGTAACGTTTCAGCTTCTTCAAACTTTCCTTTCCGACGCGCTCCTTGAACTTCTATATTCGAGTGATATCTAATTACTGCAGTCAACAAAAATGGACTTGAGACGACACCAAACGCTATTCTCCGAAATCGATATATCTTTAAGCTCTTTAGTAAATCCCAAAAAGTTAAGATAATAGTCACAAAAAATTTTAGAATGTGAAACTGTCAAGTACGTACAATAACACGGAATTAGAAGATCAAAAAAGAAATAACAGTAAATAACAAAAAGTAGCGGCCAGGAAGCATAGACATCAATAAAAAAACAAAATGGTAGACGTCATAAACAAAGGTTATTTTTTTGCTGTATTTTTGGGTGATATTGTTATTATTGTACAGCAAAAGACTGGTTAAAATTGAAGTTTTTTATTGTTACACCTGTGCCCATATCTCTCCATTTCAGGAGGGTTTCTACAGTGTTTCAAAGTCTTCATCTAATGAAAAAAAAACTGCAGCAGAAAAATGTTGACTAATACGCTTTGACGTTTTTATATCTTACAGATAAGAAATACATAATGCACAAACAATGAAACAGTTCCTTTTATAGTTTGTGAGCTGAGTGGACCTAAAAACTGCCGCCTTTTTTCAAACTTTATAGATTGTTAACACTACTTTTTCCTGTTTTAGATAAGCGACTTCTAAAACTGTAAACTAAAAAAACTTTGTCATTACTTACGAAGACGCTAATCGCACCAGAATTTTGTAGCGTAAGCCACTGTACCGCTCTGCCATAAAACCTATTACTCCGCTTTTGGGTATAATAACATGCCCACTCAGTAATAATGCAGTTAAAAGTACGTTTTAAGCGTCTATTACATGTACTTTAATTTTCTGTATGACGGTTAAAGTGTAGAAAATAAGATGATGAAAAGCAAAAGTTTATTAAGGTGTTAGGGAGCAGAAAGTCTTAAAAATGCTATAACGTGGCCGACACTGTGTCATTTAGGTACTGTTTGGCTTATTTTCAGACTGCTTTCAAAAGAAAATGACTCAGCTAAGCAACTAAGGAATCTTACGTGGAAGTATGAGAACCAAAGTACAGTATGGACGTGGAGGGAGCTTAGGGTCAGTACTGACAGTGGTAAAAAAAAATTGCTCTTCAAGCATCTTTGTAAGTATTATTTGCTGAAATATCCGTTGAAGAAAAATTTTACAGTTGTTGATAGAGGTTACTAAAACGTTTTGGACGGGATTTGCTGTTCTAATTAGGAAATCAACGGCAAATTTAGAAAGTTTTTTTCTTTTGTTACAATTATGCATGAAAATTAAATACAGTATAACCAATTATCAGCGCAATCTGACCCTTATAACAATTATTTATCTTAGCTATAAATACTGGCCACTTTAGATGGCGCTAAAGACGAAGGGGGAGTAACGCAAGAATGAAAGTGAAGCGCTTTTTAAGTATCAGTGTCCTTTTTTAAAGCGTGTGCGCATCACCAACGCTCTCAATGAGACTTTAAATAATATTATATTATAATAATATGTTTCTTCAAAAGCTACTTTGTTTAGATGTTATAAATAAATACTGTTGCAGTCAGGAAGGTAACGTTGCTTTCTTTACTATAAACAGTCCTTTTTTGTAACTAGCGAATGATATCAAAAGTCGTTTACAATTTGCTGCAGCCCTCTCTTTAGGGTCAACACTGAGGAAATACGTCAGTTATAGAGAAAAATTTATTTGTTTTAGGTTAAAACATTTTGTGAAAACTATTTCAGTGTTCTTTTCAAAGACAGGTTTGCCAAAAAAAATGGCTATTGAAATTGTGCTTTATTTTTCTGCCAAGACTACAACTGTAGCATATTATTATATCCGAAGCCTGTACCAGCTGCAGCCTCTGCTTTGAACTATTCTGGTTCAAAATTTTAGCCTTTTACGTCTTCTTGTATTTCACAACGGCCAGAAGTTAAAAATTTTGCACAAAAGAATAGAAAATAATAGTTTACTTTTTTAGTTCCAGTTTTTTCTTTTTTTACTTTGACTTTCAATTTATAACGGTATCTGTAACGTTTAGTAACGCATACATTAATGTGCCTTTACATAAAACCTAAAAGTTTTTTAATAGTGCGATAAGCAGAATTCTTTCCTCTTTCGCGACTAAGAGCCCAGTCAAAAAAATTTTTGAATCATCACGAGCTTACAAAAAGTACAAAGTGATGAAATTGACTGCAGATAGCAGAAGGTCAATTACTGAGCAGCTTGCTCCGTACTGGTTAACAACCTGTTTTTAGGTTGAAATATTTTGCTTTTCTCGAACAACTTTTGAATTTTGCCGAGGAACTTGGTGGTGAGTAAAATAAAATAAAATAACTCGTCTTTTTTCACATATTATTTAAAGATGCATATGGCAACTTTGACCACGTCTTTTTTTGCTGGTTAAATATAGGAATACAAGGTGAATAGTTCTCATTATTTACAACTGACTATTGAGTCTTTGCTCAGCTATATCATATACCTTATGCCAATCGTAATTATAGCCACCCACTGTATCAGATAACTCAGTTATTTTAGATTTTCAAAAAAAATTTTTTGTATGAATGAAAGAAATGTAATTTTATGGCTCTACAATTTTTCAAGTAAACTGTTTGGTAATATTTTTTTGCAAAGTGCACCTACAAAAAAGTTTTAATTATTATTATCAGTATAAGCAGTGCGTCAGAAACACTCATTATATGCTTCGCAAAAACACCTTTTCGTCAGTTTGGTCAGCATCGCATGTTTACTGTAAAACGGTACATTATTGATAAGCGTTCGAAGCAGACATTCTGCAGTACTTTTACGTTAGCTTTTTGTCCCCAGAAAATTGAAGTCAAGATTTGTTTACAGACTGCCAACAAGCAAGATTTTCGAGAAAAACTGCCTCGCTACGCCGAACAAAAGAAAAGCTACAACAGCCATTCTTCCAGAGTCGGACGTTTCACCACCTTGTAAAAGAAGAAAGCCAATGGTCTGGAATATAAATGAAACAATTTGGAGCAGCAATGAGAATTTTTTTTTTTTTGATTTTAATCAGTCTTTATTGCGCACGCTAAAATATTTACACCTCTTAGCCGGTTCAAAATTTAAATGATTTGGAAAAGTAAACCACTGCATTTAGTTTTGTTTTTGTTCTTCAAATTACTGCTTATCCTCTTTTCTGAGAAGCACTTGAAATTTGTCAGTTTTCAACCAAGGTTTATGTTTTTAAACAAACACAGTTTTTTGATACCTAAAATACAAAAAAAAGTACTTCTGAAATATATAAAAACATTCAAAAAAATATATAGGATTTCAATCTTTTTTGCAGTTTTTTACTTTAACTTAATTATCGTTACTGCTTACTTCAAAATGAGCGGAGTAATAACTTTAAACACTTTTATTAAAACACTAAAATTCTTCATACTACTAGATTAGTTTGAACCATCATCTCTACGAGCAATGACCAATTTATTTTCCCAATTTAGAAGACAGCGTTGTTAGTCGCTTCAAAAAAGGGGAACGTTAAGATCGTTCAGATTTTAGTGGACAATGGAGCAAATGTCAACGCAAAAGGAGAAAATCAGGTAAAGAGTTACAGAAAAAATTGATGAAACGAATTCTGCTATCTCAAATAGTAAAAAATTGCAAAAAAAACCTTAACAGGGTTTTTTCACTCATTTTAGGTAACACCGTTAATAGTCGCATCTAAAGGAGGATTTGCGGAAATTGTGAAAATTTTAGTCAATAAAGGTGCGGAGGTAAACGCGAAGGATGGAAGCAAAGTAAAGCTTTGCAGAAGAAGTTTAAGTGAACTAACGTCGTTTTGAATCAACAAACAATTTAACCTTCCTTTATACTTTGAGCGACAATTACTGTTTCAACTTTTTCTTGTTTTAGGAAACATCGCTACTAATTGCTAGCCGATTAGGAAATATTGAAATTGTTAACACTCTGATTAAAAAAAATGTCGAAGTTAATGCAAAAGATGAAAAAGAGGTAACTTTGTGCGCTCGTTTTATAAAGGCAAAGATTATATTTGCTTTAGAAAAGATTATATTTGATCAAAAAAAGATATTTTTTTCCGCTTTTAGAGGACATCATTATTAATAGCCTGTCGGAACGGGAATACAGAGCTTGTCCGGATTCTAGTCGAAAATAAAGCAGATGTCAACCTTTGCGACGAAACTCATGTAAGACTTTGTTGTTGAAGAGAAAAAGAACATTCAATGGCAAACTGTTAAGGAAAATGCATATTACCTGAAATTGACACTCAATTTGTAAGATTGCTTTCCTTCTCACTATTTCAGACAACACCGTTATTGATCGCTTCTCGAGGCGGATATTTCGAAATTGTGAAGGTTTTGGTAGAAAAAGGAGCGAATGTCAATTTGAAGAATAACGATGAGGTACAACCCTAAAACTTTTGATGAACGCATCAAAGATTAAAGTAGCGAACGAGCAATACACGCAGTTCTAAATTTTCATATTTGCTGAGTCGATCAAAAATTTCCTTTCTAAGGTTTCGCTTCTAAAAACTATGTCAGTCAAAGACTTGTTTTCTTTGTTTATCTAGAAGACTTACTACATCATCGATAGACAACAAGTCTAAGAAAATTCATAGTTGAAAGATTTTGTCACATGACAATTTCAGTTTCTTTTTTACACCATATTGGGACGGCAAAAAATTAATTTTTTTCTTACAAAATGATACGACAATTATAAAGAAGAATACCGTAATAAGTTTCTTTCTTCCTATTAGGTAACGCCGCTGTTGGCTGCATCTCGACGAGGGTACACAGATATTGTGAGGACTTTGGTGAAAAACAAAGCGGAGGTTGATGTTGTAGGAAAAGATAAAGCAAGTTTTATCACCTTTATTTGAAAAAAGTAGAGAATAAAGCTGTTAAAATTTTTGAATCAAAAAAATTGAAATTTACTACAGATCTAACATAATAATGGCAAGCTTTTTACTTATTTCAGGCAACTCCGTTATTGATTGCCAGCAAAGGAGGATTCTTTGAAATAGCTAAGATTTTGGTGGAGAATGGAGCAGGAGTTAATGTGAAAGGTGAAAACGAGGTATAGCTTCAGAAATTGAGTTGGAAAACTTTTCCGGCATTTTTAGTAACGAAAGATGTTAAACACTCAAATTTCGGCGTATAAATGTAACGTCTCTTATTCGCTAATGCTTACATCAAATTATATTTTTTAGGAAACGCCGCTGTTAAGTGCATGTCAAGGAGGATACTTTGACATTGTCAAGGTTTTAGTAGAGAAAGGTGCGAAAGTTAACGCAACAAATGAAGAGGGGGTAAAAATTTTTAACAAAAAATTAATATTTTTTAAGAACTTTCATAAAGATAATTCGTTTGATTGGCATTTTTAGCGGACACCACTGTGCGAAGCATCTTACAGTGGAAACCTTGAAAGTGTGAAATTTTTAGCAGAACGTAAAGCCATAATCGATGCAAGAACTAAACGACAGGTTGGTTAGCAGACATTTACAAAAAAAATCTCACCTAAAGACTTACTTACTACTCCTTGCAGCTGGAAACTTACTATTTTAACTCAACTTATTCGCATCAAAATTTCAGTAGTTTGCCTAGAAAGTTTTCTGTGTTTGTTCACATATCATTAACAAACTGTAAATTTTGTACTTAATGGAACCTCATTCTATACAACCTGTCTTAACCGACCTTGATTACAGAACAGTAAAAGCCACAAAGTGTAGCATAAGAACACATATTTCTGAATTCGGTGCTTAGATAGAATGTTAAAGTTCTTCCGTAAACATAAAAGCACACATGATTTAAAAAAGTTGGCTTGTACTGTCTCTGTTACCCGAAAATTAGTGAGACAATATTTTAACTCTATTTATGCGTTATTATTTCGTTTACGGATGTATAGCAAACCTGTTTCAAAACATACGTAACAGTAAGTATGTAATATCAGTAAAAGTCAATGCAACTCTACCCGCCAGAATTACTGGCACCACAACATTTACCTCTTACGGACCGTTGGCTGCATAGCATCTGTCCAGAATTCATTGCTTGCGCAGATTATACATAACTTGTTTTTCCTCAGAGGCAATATGTAAATCAAAAACACAATAAATTTGTGGCGCAGACGAAGCACCCTTCTAGGTTTCACTACCTTTCGCTTCAGCTGGTGCAAAACTCGTGTATCCAGCGTCTTCGTCATGCTCAATTTTTGGAAACGGTTCCGAATCATGTTACAGAAAAAGCCAATTTCCTCAGTGAATCTTCGGACACTCCTGACTAGACTGGCTTCAACTTCCGCTCCTATCTAGTTTCATCTGTAAACCTTCGCTTCATTGTCATACTGCATATTTTAAAACTCATCTTTACTTGTAAACTCATTATCCCATATCGGTCCTTTATTCACTAAAAATTTCTCAGTTGCCATTTTGACACCTCAAGCGGTTCTGGCTGTGGCGACATTATAGGCTTTTTTCACCTAAGAGGATTCACCAATCAAAAAATTCATTCATTCACGCCAGAAAAGATTGGACTTAAAGAGATTTGAAACAGAAAAAAATTATTTAAAGAAAAAAGACAGGAAGAGGCAGCCAAAAACATATTGTCAGAAAGTGCACGGGTTGCAGCAAAACTAACTTAAATTGCTAACATCCGTAAGATTTTATAAAACAATCTAAAAGTGTCTCTAAGTATCTCTTCTTAAGAAATTTCCACTTGAAAACCAACCAAGCTCGAATAAAGCATTTTATGAACTGGTAGGAAAGCACCAAAATAGAAGAACATTGAGTGCTTTGTTATAACAAGACTCAAAAAAAATACTAAATAATTTAGCAGCTTCTTAAAGCATACAGTAAATTTATTGACAATTTTTGTGATCTAGAAAATAAGAAGTTACAAAGAAATTCGGTATACGGTTTTAGTACAAGCCAGATAATTCTAATTATATCTACCGGATTAAGTTTTTAGTCGATGGCATTAATCTAGATAAATTGGTAGGCATTTTAATCAACACAAAAAACTGTTTTGTATATTTTAGCAGACACCTCTGTTTGAAGCTTGCAAGAAAGGCCATTTAAACGTGGTAAAATTTTTAATAGAACGAGGAGCCGATGTTAATGCAAAGGACAACGACCAGGTGAAAAATTTTCAATATTTGTTCATTATTCTGCACCTCAGTAATTTACTAGTAATCTTCAAAAAATTAACTGTTTTATTTTTGACCTTATTTCTCCAATATTTTTCTTTAACTGTCAGAACGGATCTGTGAAAAAAAGTTTTAAATTTTTTGAATGCCATAACTTTTGCCTATCAAACTGTTGCTGTTTCTGAAATAAGAAACTAAATAAAAGTTTTAAAAAATTTAAAATGGGTAAATTGATATAAGAAAGACAATATGACATGTAATTGGAAATTATTAACTTATTCACAAAACTATTAATCAGTAACTCGCATAATATCAACATTTGATTAAACAGCAGTGCTAATTTTCTAACAAGTAAGTTTTTTTACTCTTGGAAATTTTAAGCTTAAATTTCTTTTAGATGTGTGCACTCTGGTTTAACTGTTTGCAGAAGTGGTAAAAAAGATATTTGACTGCTAATTACACTTTTCATAAAACCGATTCTTGGACAGCATAAATCACCTTAGGTTCAAAAAAAACTAGTTTCTTTAATTTAGAGAACGCCGTTGTCCGTAGCATGTTACAATGGATATCCCGATATTGTTGAGCATCTGGTACAGCATGGAGCCGATGTCACCATTAAGGATTTTTTACAGGCATGGGTTTTTAGAAAAAAAATTAAAGAAATCTCCTACAAAATTTCTGCAATTACTATACTTCAACGTTGCTAATTAACCTTCCAATTTGGACGATGTAAAAAAAGTTAAAACAACTTAACATAACTTTAAGTTACTTTTGCAAAAAATTTTTTATCTTTTGAGATATCTGCACAAAACTTGTAACGCTGAAGTTCTCAGAAGCCTTAGCAAAATGAAACAAATGACAATACCTTCGGCTTGGGACTGTAGAACAATGATAAAAAAGGTTTGAGACGGGATACTTTCAACTGCACTTTATCACCATCCGCTTCACTTAAAGCTCTCTTTTTCGTGCAACGAAAGACAGTAAATGTTGACTAAGCTTTCATGCCCTTTTGGTTTTCATTTCAAAGAGCAGTTGTAATAAGCCCTGCAGCGTACAAGCATTACCGGAGTGGATGGCCTCTGTGTTAATTGTTCCATAATGTCTCGATTCTCAATGAACCTCTCCTATCAGAGAAGTACCCTTAGAAGCCATAACACAAATACTCCGCAATAATTCAAAAGCAGTACTTACTAAAAGCTATTAAACAGTTCCCCAAATTTTTGAAACGGTTGTCATACTGCCTATCAAAACAAGCAGAATGGAAGAGTATCATCGCAGTAAACATGCGAAAGAAACAATAAATTTCTGGCTCAGGTATCCGAAGACGATGAGCTAGGTGCAGCTGCCGTGACTGTAGCCAGCACATAATAAAATAAGCAACCTACTAAGCAGTCTACCTTAGAAAATGCAGGCTAAAAAATTTAGTTCTAGGCTAAACTTTTCAAAAATTCGGAACGTTCTTTAAGTCTGCGCCAAATTTAGTGCCCGTTCGTTTTTTTCAGGATTGGTAGGAATAGTCATTGATATATCAATTGAAATTGATCCATATAACCCATAATCAACCGTTAAGGGTTACATTAAGGTTCATTCTTTTTTGAGCCTCACTCTTTAACGACTCAAGTGATGCTCCCAAACCAGGAATGCGTCTGATCATTTAAAATCTAAAAATACACTTCTTTTGGATCGCTACAGAAAAGCGGCGCTACGGTCATTCAAACGGTCAACAGCGAGACACATTTGAACTAAAAAATTGTTTAAACCTTTGGTAGTATTGCCTGTGATATACCTCAGAGTGTATTTACCTTGAAAATTTCACTTGAAAACCACTCTGCTCATCTTCTGTTCAAACAGAAGCAGATGGGTTACTCAAAGAAGTAAAATTGCTGTCGATAATGAAAGCTTTGCAGTTACTTAATTCCAGATTTCGTCGAGAATTACTCAAAAACTAAGCTTACGCTGCTTTTCTATAACTCCCCCATCCTCCAGAATTACGGCGGCGCAGTCAAATCCGCTTTTTTTAAACGTAACCACATTGCGTAAGGAACAATGCCAAAATCTGTAGTCGTTTATTCATCGTGGTGATGCAGCCAGCTGATGAAGGGGTCATAAATCTTTAATAGCTGCTTCAATTCCATCCTCACTTTAACACAGCGGCCGAAGACCTGTTGGCCCACTACTGTTCCGAGATGATCTGTTTGCGGTGCAAAGCTTTCCGCTCATACATCAAATGCAAGAAACTGCGGTATTTTGACACGTTAATCATACATCCTTGAGGATTCAAAATTGTGAACAACTGAGCTTAATTTCCTTATTGACTTTAGAATGCTCCGCTGTACTACGCATCGCAGAACGGACATGCAGAGGTGGTAAGGTTCTTGTTGCGAAAGAAAGTCAATGTGAACGACAAGGATCCTGTAGTACATGTAAGGTTTTTGTTAAGGAAATGAGCAAACCATGCTGTGAGCTGCCTATTAAAGCTAAATTTCGTGGTTTTCTATCTGAGTTAGCAGTTAAGTATGTTTAACATTTTTTGTAAAGACTTTGAACTACTATTTCTTGCTTAGATTTTGTAAAAATTGATACATGGTTTTTAACAGTTTGTCACTCGGAATTGGCAAGTTCAGTTGCTAAGTGGCAAATGGTTAAATTACTTTCCTCTTAGATAGCCAAACTTGACAAAAGGCATATTCTAGCTTTTTTATTATATGAAAAAGCTATAATGAAGTGAAGCTGCACATATTTTATTCATCGTTAAGTTTTTGTGCTCTTTAGCTAGTTTGACATTTTGATTTACTTACACTGTTGTAAGTATCCCTTTGCTTTTGATATCTTGGCATTCTGTCAGCACTAAGAACTCGCCAACTATTGATGAAGTTTTCAAGGCTTCGTGTAAGTGACAGATGGTAAATGCACTGAGATCAACTTGGTACTGATGTAGCTGCGTGATAAAGTTGCGAACTAAAGGAAAGTACAAATTGTTTTTTTTTTTTTTCAGGAAGGGATCTTCAGAACGTAGTGGGTAGTCGTGGTGCATTTTGCAGCCTATTTTGTAGTTTTTGATTCGTAGCTTTCAAATATAGCTTACTGTATATGCCCGGCTGCGGGCAAAATTTGAAAACTATAGAGCGTAATTTTCAACTTAAATATTTTTACATTTATTAAGCACTGATAACAAATACGTCTCCTAAACATTATCACAAACATTCAAATACAAAAAGGGCAAAAAAAACAATTTTTAAATAAAAAATCTTTAACTTCTGCAGTAAACTTTTCATACTGTAATTTTTCAGTTTATACTGCTACTTGTTGTCTTTTCTGTTATCAACCAATAATGTTAAGTGGAATAAAAAAGCATGTTTTTTTACACATCTTTTTACTGAAACGAATACATTACATTACTATGGCTATTAACTCAATTTTAAAACTAATGCTTTATGGATTTTTTAAAATAGAATAATCGTACTGCTAACAGGGCTTTTTATCTTTTAGCTAATAAGACAATTTCCTTCCACTTTAGAAGACTCCTTTGTTTCCCGCTTGTTGGAATGGCCACCCAGAAGTCGTTAGGCTGCTCGTCGAAAACGGAGCTGAAGTAAACGCACGAAACCTTTCGCAGGTAAGATTATAAAACTGTTTCTGCATTCTAATTTAGTATATAATATCTACAGTGATTTGGTATGGTATTGGTAATTTGAAATTAAAAAATTAAAACATTCTTATCAGGTATTAAAAATCTAACATACCTTATCGAAAGATTACGCTGCTGGAATTAGTAGTTGATTATTGTGCAAAAAATCATAATTTACTTTCTTTATAAGTTTCTTCTGTCGCAACTACAACATTGAGGTATTTCTGCTGAAACTGTAGGGCACAAAACGAAAAACTCAAAATTAGAAGTATTTGAGTAGTTGAAAATATTTTTTAGAGTAACTGAAAACTAAAACATAATTTTAAAAAAATTTACAGTGCAGAAATATTATTGCTAGTTGATAGGTGGAGTTTCGCAGCAAATGCTATTATATACTGAAGCAGAATAATAGTGAAATTAATGTAAGTCTTGAGACGTGCTTTACGATAACGTCAAAAGTTAGACGATTCATGGAAATCCGCTCTAAACGAAATCTTAAACACTTTTAAGGCTACCTTTGTACATAGAACTTGAAAAGCAAACAGATAATTAACAATAAAAATCTAGCGATAGTCGGTATTGCACGACAACTATAAACGCACATTAGCTCTTCTTCTTTCAGCTTTTGTAACAATGGGTCGACGTTATCGAAACATTAACAGTATTTGGATTTATAACCAAACTGCTGTAAAATTGCTCTGAAATTTGAATGTTTTGCGTATAAATAAAAAAAGTGACTTATCATTTCAGAGAACACCATTATTTGCATCCTGTTGGACTGGAAACATCGAAGTCGTGAAATATCTGGTGGAGCATGGGGCAGAAGTTGATGCTAAAGACACGTCACAGGTGAATTGCTGTCGAGAAAGTTTGATGCTTTTTTCATCTAAATGCTCGACATCTACATTAAAGAAACGTATCGGTTATGTGACTGCGAGGTTGATTTGAGATTCAGGTTTAGTATTAATAGTGTGTTTCTAAACACTTTTATGGAATATTTTTCCTGGTAGAATTTGTTAGATCCAAACACTTATGCTTCTTTTCCAGCCAGAATAACTGAAATTATATTTTAAAATATACGGAATCGTTCACGTCACGTAACGTACTTTTTTTCAATTGACTTTCCAAAAAATTTCTTTAAAACGTGTAAGTAGTAGACGCAGCAACGTAGTTAAGAAGTGGAAATGGTTCGTAAACAGATAAATTTTAAAGAAGTGTCAATTTTTTGCATCTGGATTTAACCCACAATTTCGGCATCTTGTCGCAGGACAATAAAAGTGCGCGGATTTAAGTTCTTACAGAAGCTCATATAAGCTACTCGTAAAATTCTGTTTATCTACTGGTTAAGGAAAAAAAGGTGGTAAAAATATAGAGGAATTACAGGAAAGTTCATAAGAAATTTTTTAAATTTAAATTCTATTCATAACTTTTTCACCCCAAGCCGTGAAATTATTACGTTTTGCAGATTTTGGACTCTTAGCCAATGCACATTAAAGCGTGCAAATGCAGTTCGCTCATGTTTCTATTTTAGATAACTCCTCTGTTAGTAGCATCTCGAAACGGGCATGCAGAAGTAGTAAAGTATCTGGTGGAAAAGAATGCTGATGTCAACGTAAAGGATACTAAAGAAGTTGGCTTCTTAAACCGTTCCTTGTAAAAAGTTTTAAAAAAACACTTCAGTTTTATTTTTAAGCAGCAAAATACTGTCAGTCTTCTTCCAAGCATTTGGCAACTGGATTTTTTTAAACTTATTTTAGCAGACTCCCTTATTTAAAGCTTGTTTGAAAGGACATATTGAAACTGTAAAAGTCCTTGCTGAACACGGGTGTGACATCAATGCAAAAGACAAGGAGCAGGTCAGGTTTAAGCAAACAATATGAACTTTTTCTCTTTTTTTTCGCAGCAATATTAATAAACAATTTTGCTAAATGAACTGTTTCCCTTTCTGTAGAGATCTTAAGGCTTCTTAGAAAAAGTTTTATGTCAAAGCGTACTTTTCGTTCAGAAAACTTGTTTAGCTGCGGTAAATATAGGTATTTCTGTTTTGAACTACTTGTGCATTAACCGCATTACTTTTTTTTATTTTATGAATTTTTAAAAACAGTGCTGGTATCATCTACGATATCAGCCATTTTGCTACCACCTTTGTGTAAAGGTTAAAAAAATAATGATAGAAACTTAATTGAAAAGTGCTGTTTTTACTTTAGAAAACCCCTCTGCGTGTTGCGCAAGATAAGTCGCTTACTGAAATTGTTAAAATTCTTGAAGAAAATGATGCTATGCCGTGGTAGACCAGATATGAAAAATGAAATTACAGTGATGTTCTTTGGCTATCTAAATAGCAACAACCGAGA